AAAATCGGGATATGCTAAAACCGGATAAGTCGTTATTAAATCCTTAAGCTTTTCAAACGCTTCAATATATTTTTGATCGTTTTCATTGATAATTGTATCTTTTTTTAAATATTTTATGATAGGTGAGGCTATTGAAGAATAATTTTTTATAAATTTTCGGTAATAGCCGGTTAATCCAAGATGTGATTTTATTTGCTTGACTGTCTTCGGTAAGGGTACGTCATTTATTGATTTTATTTTGTCCGGGTTTGGTTTAATTCCTTCCGTTGTTATTACATGTCCTAAAAATTCAGCTTGTTGGGCTAAAAATTTACATTTGTCAAATTGGACTTTTAAACTATATGCGTTTAGTTTGTTAAATATTTTATTTAAGTTATCAAAGTGTTCCTCAATTGAAGTTGAAAACACGAGTATGTCGTCCATGTAAATTACGCTTATTCTATTTATATATTCCCTCAGGATAAAATTCATCATTCTTTGGAACGTCGAAGGCGCGTTCTTCAATCCAAATGGCATTCTGATTTATTCATAATGACCAAAGTGAGTGGAGAAAGCGGTTTTTTCAATATCTTTTTCGTCCATCAAAATTTGATGAAAGCCTTTAGCGAGATCGATAGTGGAAAAATACTGCGCACGTCCTAATTTATCAAAAATTGAACTGATATCTGGTATTGGGAACTTATCGTCAATAGTAACGCTATTTAATTTCCTATAGTCAATCAGTATACGCCATTTCACTTGATTGGAGTTGTCCGCTTTTTTTTACTATCCAGAGGGGAGTTATAAGGCGATTTACTCGGCCTTATTATGCCCTGTTTCAACATTTCATTTATCTGTTTTTCAATTTCCTGTTCACGTACCTGGGGATATTTATATATTTTAGAATAAATTGGTTTATCCGTAATTATACGTATGTTATGCTTTATCGCATTGGTAGCAGTTAAGGTCTGACCGTCTTGATAAAATGTATTCTTATTTTTATAAAAGAAATTTTTAAGCCGTTTTTCTTCATCTTTATTTAATATATTCGATTTAATTTTCTCAAAATTTATATCATCTTTCTCCAAGTGATATACTTCATCATACTCAATTTCAAACTGCTTATCTTCTTTGTAAAAGGGTATAGCAGTTTTGTTAATTATCAGCGCCTTTGTATCATAGTTTATACAAGCTTTCAGTGGCATTAAGATGTTGCTTCCTATTATACAATCGAAATCTTTATTTTTAAAATTTGTTAGTTTGATTGACATGGTTTTAGTCGGCATATTGAATTCAATTGGAAGTTGAAGATTACTTCTTCTATCACAATGGATGATCCTACTAAAGTGTTTAATTGAATTGGTTTTGATAATTTCTGAATTTCGTCTTTACTTGCGAAGGTCTTATAATCACCTAAGGTTATAGCCGCTCCTGTGTCAATAAAACATTTCACTCTTTTTTTATTAAATGTTAAAAAAAAACTATGGGTAATCTGCTGTCCGCGGCTCCCGTTGAAAATTTTCGACTACCTGCAAATTATCCACATCCATCGGTTCGTATTCATTTTTGTTCCGGTAGTTTCCAGAAATATTATTATATCTGTAATTTCCTAGATTTTGTCTAAAATTTTGATTAGAATTTCCAGAAGCGCCCTTATTGTTATTTCTATTCTGACCTGAAATTTGTCTGTGATTTTGATTATTGCTATTGTTATTATAGTTTTTGCCTTTGCGAACTAGTTCTAAATTCTATAGTTCCGAACCAGTTTTAAAATCGCCAGACGAAAGAAAAAAGTCAAAGTTTTCAATCTTTTCTGTTCTTCCGTGTGCCATTTTACATTATTTTCAAAGAAACGTTTTTTCAATTTCAAATTAAATTTGTTTGAGTGATTGTAAGACATGTACGTTTACATACCTTTGGCTTCAGCTGACTTTGCAGAGGTGCTCGCTCTTATTGGTTAGATTCCAAACGGCCCCAAGATATTAATATGTGAACACAAAGTTTTGTTTTGTATTACCAAACTATGAAATAGCATCTGCGAAGTGCAGAATGAAAGTGCATTTGAACGAAAAAGCCGCCAAACACATATCTATGTAAATTAAACAAGCCCCCCGCTGC